TACGGTGAATTTCACTGTAAGCTACGGTGAATCAGGGCGAATCACCGTAGCTTACAGTGGAATTCACCGTAGCTTACGGTGAAAATTGACCGTAAGCTACGGTGATGCAGGGTTCACCGTAGCTTACGGTGATATTCACCGTAAGGTTTTAATAGTGTAAAGCACGCTCTTCCTAGTGCGTGCGAAGTCAGCTGTTGTGTTTGCAGTGAATTTGCGTGAATTGGAACTGCTAAGCCAACAGAGCAGCCACAGCCAAAATGGTGATGACAAACTGGACCAGAGGACGAGAGCAACATACGTAAACAACATTTAAAATTAATATTTGTCTAGGGGTAGGTCCTGGAAGGTCCCCTGTCTGGAAGGTTCCCCCTGAATATTTTGTAATATTTTACAATTTATTTTAAGAAAATATGTTTTAACATTTAAATATTGATAAAATATTAAAATATTGTAAAAAATCATTTTTAAATGCCAGAGAGGTCCAGCAAATTTTCATAATTCTCCTACAGGTCTAGATTCTCTTGCTGGAGCACTAGAGATTATTTTTTTGATGGTTTGTGTCAACGGTACTCAGAATCAAAATACCTCTCTCCCTCTCTTCTGCAGCGCTTTTCCTGTTTTGTTTATTGCACTGTTAAACCAAGTGTTCAACTGTTCAACACTTGCAAGTGTTCAACTACTAGATAAACATTTGCAAGTGCTCAAGACGACAGTTGAGCAGTTGCAAGTGTTCAACTAGACAGTTGAGCACTTCTAAGTGTTCAACCAGACAGTTGTGCACTTGTAAGTGTTAAACAGGGAAGTGTTGGACGGGGTTGTGGAACGCTTAGAAGTGCACAACTGGCAGGTGGAACACTTAGAAGTGCTCAACACTTGCAACTGCTCCACTGTTCTGTTGAGCACTTGCAAGTGTTTATCTAGTAGTTGAACACTTAGTTTAACAGTGTGCAGAGGTGACAAGTTTCGCATTCACTCACGCTTTGTGTAGTGTTCCCTGCAAATCCTACAGTAGAACACTGGTAGGTATTTTGCCCCATGTTGCCATACTGTTGCAATTGTGGGACTTTGCACCAAGCGTAGGACATTCTCACACTTGTAACAGTAGGAGTCGCTTTCTTGAAGGAGTAATACCGAGAAAACAATGCTGCAATGGTGCTCTGCATCTGCATAACAGGCAGATGGTATTTTTTTTCTGAGTTTCAATGACACTCGCACCCAAAGTTCCCAAAGAAGTAATACGGAGTGCTCAAGCAAGAGAATCTGGACCTTTGGGAGAAGTATGAAAATTTGCTGGACCCCTCTGGCATTTAAATATTTTTTTTTTAGAATATTTTAATATTTTATCAATATTTAAACGTTTAAAAATAGTTTCTTTAAATAAATTGTAAAAAATTATAAAATATTCAGGGGGAACCTTCCAGACAGGGGACCTTCCAGATGTTTCCCCTTCCGGTGAGGGGACCTTCCGGAACCTACCCGATATTTACTGGATATTTATAACAATGTTTATTTAACTATCATGATTTTGGTGCAGGCAAGGGCTTGTCGACGAGTTCAGCAGGGACCCATCAATACGAGTATTTCTCTCAACTACTCGCGCTGGAGGTCTCGGTGTCAATCTCACTGCTGCTGATGTAGTCATAATCCATGATGTCGATTCGAACCCACAAAACGATAAGCAGGCTGAAGATCGTTGCCATCGCATTGGACAGTCAAAGTAAGTGGCAGTTTTGGCAGCACTCCTGTCGATTGAGACAAACATTTTATTTGGCTGTTTGCTACGCCCCTTAGATGTAATACGTGATACTGCCAACATCAATTTTGCAGGACTGTGATGTTTTTTTTTTTAATCCTTCGTCAGATTGTTTGCATTGCAAACGATTTACTTTGCATAACAAACAATTTTCTTTGTAAGTTACGAAGAACTACACTGGAAAAACAAAGGTGCGAATTCCTACCTTTCCTGGGGCGCTAATGCCAAGGGCTCAGTTTAGTTCCTTTCCTGGGGTACTAAAGTTTCGTGCCTTTGGAAAGGCACTAAACTTTTAAGGTACACATATGAAGCTGACCAGCCCAAAGGTGTAAAAGTCACATTTAAGGCCTTTCAAAAGGCACTAAACTTTAGTGCCTTTCCTGAGGCACTAAATTTTGTTAGTGCCTCTTAAAGGTAGGAATTCGCACCTTTGTATTTCCAGTGTAGTTCGTAATCTTACGAACTAATTCTTTGCAAGCTTGCAAAGAAATTTCTTTGCTGCACTGTTAATCTAAGTGTTCAACTGTTCAACACTTGCAAGTGTTCAACTAATGGATAAACACTTGCAAGTGCTCAACACGACAGTTGAGCACTTGCAAGTGTTCAACCTGCCAGTTGTGCACTTCTAAGTGTTCAATTGGCCAGTTGTGAACTTCTAAGTGTTCAATAGCGCCGCCCAACACTTCCCTGTTGAACACTTAGAAGTGCACAACTGGCCGGTTGAACACTTAGAAGTGCACAACTGGCAGGTTGAACACTTGCAAGTGTTTATCTAGTAGTTGAACACTTGCGAGTGTTGAACAGTTGAACACTTAGTTAGTTTAACAGTGTAGTTACGAAGAAATAGTTTGGAAATGCAAAGGAAATAGTACGTAATGCGAAGATTCTTACAAAGGCTCAAAATTATTTGCAATGCAAAGAACAATTCTTTGCAAGCATTTATCAGTGCATGCTTCACTAGAATCGCTATGCAAACTGTGAGACTGTCTGACACCAAAAGGTGCAGGCCACTTTTTTCTTACACCAAATGGTGCAGAACACTGGTGCCTAACACCACTTGTGATATCGTCAACCTATAAACAGTATGTCGTAGGCAAAGGTCGTTTCGAGGGCATATGATCACTGGAAAAACAAAGGTGCTAACTCCTACCTTTAAGAAGTGATAACAAAGTTTGATGCCCGAGGAAAGGCACTAAAACAGGCCCCTCAAATAGTCCAGGAAACCAAGGTTTTCAGTCTCGAAAAAATTGCAAAGAGCTGTATTTTTGTACACTGGTAGAGGTTAGTGTGCTGATTAACCTATTTTCACTACATGGTTCCAGACCCTGTGCTAACCGAGATATTGAACAAAAAGGGCCTAAATGCAGGGTTTTGCGGTATCAGCCATAGCACTTGAACTAATCGTGTGAGCGGGTCGAGAAATGTGTCAAATCAGCTACACGTTTCAGCTAAGAGCATAAATATATTAACGCAAACACCAAATCAGTGAAAACACCCGGGTGTAAGGATCTTTACTTATTCTCTAAGGGTCATCTGAGATAAATCCTTATTTGCAACACCAGTAAAACTAATATAAAAGGGTAAAGCAAACAGAGTTTAAACTGAATTTCAGTATTGTCTAAAGTCTCATTAAACTATAGATAAAGTACTACTTTTTTCGGAAACTATAGTTTTAGTGTCAGTTTTGTGCTAGTTTTGTGTCAGTTGTGTGCCAGTTTTTGGCAGTTTTAGGGGTTGTTTACTAGTCAGTAACTGTAGTTTTTAACTATAGTTTAACTAGAGTTTAATGAAGTCCGTTCAAAAAATATTTTGAACCATTTCCTTAACCTCTTTTTCCTTTTCCTTTTTCTCCCTTCCCTTTCCTAATGTACATCGAACTTGGAACTTGATTTTACCTTACCGAAAGTCGAAGTTGAAGCGGGCGATGACTGGAGTTGAACCTCGGACCTTGGAGCTGCGAGCCTGCGACGATGACCACTGAGCCACTGCGACACCATAGCTCTGGTGGCGCAGTAACCCAATGTCATGCCAAGGGTCCCGGTCCGTCGGCCTACTGTCTTACTATAGTTTTACTACAGTTTCATTATAGTTCCATTTTAGTTTTTAAAAGGAGCTAAGGAGCTTTGTAATGTGACCATAAAATGTTTAAACACCTACACTGATAAACCAAGTGTTCAAATACCAGTTGAACACTTGCAAGTGTTCAACAGAGTTGTTGAGAACTTAATGTGTGCAGCTCAACAGTTGAACACCTTTAAGTATTCAATTTCCTAGTTGAGTTGAGTTGCAGTTGCACACATAAAAGTGGTCAACAACTCTGTTGAACACTTGAAGTGTTCAACTGGTATTTGAACACTAGCAAGTGTTGAGGAGTTGAACACTTAGTTTATCAGTGTAAACTGCGGAAGGGGTGAGAATCAATCCTGTTTTAGTTACACGGTGTGACACACACAGCTGGAGGACACAGCAACGTCACAACAGCGCGCAAGACCTTCGTGACAGGGCTCTCCTGGGGGACGTCGGCCGGAGGGCGTAATGTGGAGCATACAGTCACTTCGTCCAATTCTCTGACTTTTCGCAAGTTTCTTACCCGGTTCCTCAAAGCCAGTCAGTCAAAAAGTCGTGTATCTCAACACTTTCATTTGGACATCCAAACATATGTCTCGATTGTAAAACAAATAGAAGTGGAAGAAAATATTTTGAAATCACTTTTCTAATGACTCATAAACCGGTGTCCTGACTGGAAAGTGGATCTTTACTCAGAAGTAGTTCACGCAAACACTTTTCTTCATATTTGAAACCCGTTATTTGAATGAAAATCAGACAATAGTCCGATACTGCATTGCGCAATGACCTAGGACAGCACTTAGTACTTCACTGTAGAGTACATGCCTTAACTCTGGGCTATACTCACATAAAACTCGTGTTTAAGTACATTCCGAAGTCATGTATGATCTGCACTTAAGAATTGCATTAAGTAATGACTTTTATATCATTTTAAACTACAGTTGGGCAACTGTAGTTTAGTGACTACAGTTCATTCTCTACTTTAAGTGAAGATCCTTCCACCCGGGCAACCGTCGAGGACAAATGTTTCTTTTACTCTGCAAATCCAACAGTAGGACAAGATTTTCCTACTGTTGGAACAGTGCACACTAAAATACTAGGGACAATTTTTGTGCCGAGTTCAGTATGATTTCGAGCATGCGCATCATATGTACCAATTCATACGTAATTACAGATAATTAGTGTGCTGTTGTGCACAATTGTGCACTAATTATCTGTTATTACGTATGAAATCGTACATATGATGCGCATGCTCGAAATCATACCGAACTCGGCACAAAAATTGTCCCTAGTATTTTAGTGTGTGGGACAGTCCTACTATTCCTACTGTTGCAACAGTAGGAATAGCTTGTCCTACTGTTGGAACAGTAGGAATTATCCTTGTCCTACTGTTGCAACAGTAGGACAGTCCTACTGTTGGATTTGCAGAGATTTCAGTATTCCAGTATTTATTTATGCTCGTTCTGATGTATTGTATATTAATGGAAAGAGGGCACTTTTCTCTTCAAAATGCACTCATTCTGAGTATCGCACTTTTCACCGTTCACCTGCAGTACCCGTTCAATAAGGGATTGTACACCCGTGAGGTTCTCCTTTCTGCATAGGCTTCCCGCCAGGGTCTACACTCTCAGACCACCATAGACTTATTTGTGAATAGTCTATTAACTTATATGCACTAGTATAATATGGATGAATTTGTCCATACATATGAACATTTTGTCAATAATTTTATAGACTTTTTTTAAAAAGTTCATATTTATGTAAGAAAACATCCATACATATGAAGAAAATAATAGTGGATAGTTATACTAGCGCATATAAGTCAATAAGGAAATCCTTATGGACGAAAGTGGAGTGTACCGGTTAGACTTTTGGTAGCAGGATGTAGTGGACACTAAGATCTACCCACTGCATGCAAACAAACTACCCTCCATATTTTGGAAACGTGTTAAATATTTGACATCTTCACTATTATCTCAAGTGCGACAAATTTCATACAATTTGATGCGATAAAAGCCCAAAAGCGATTCCTACATAATATTGCATCTGGGGGAGCCATAAAAAAATTATCGCACTAAATTGACATTTGTCATTGCATTGAGTGCGATAAATTTAACACATTTTTCTGCGATGATTTTTTATTGTAACACAATGTGTTAAAGTTATCGCATTCAATGCAATGACGAATGTCAATTTAGTGCGATAATTTATTATCGCAGCAAAATGTGTTAAAATTATCGCATTCAATGCAATAAAAATTATTGCACTAAATTTGTAGTCATCATTGCATTAAGAATTACAATGTTTAGGGCACTGGAATGTCCATTTCAGTGTAATTTCCATTAGTACCTGACTTTAAAAAATGCGAGCGAAGCGAGCCTAAAAAAATTAGCCTTGCGGCACATAGAGCGACTGAACCTTTTTCGGATCAGCACGTAATTCGGATCAACCGCCGCCTTTAGTTCCTTCGGATAACGAAAGTTTGAGTATATTAATTTTTTTCCTTTAAAGACGAACCTTCCTTAGGTCTTTTCCTTCGCTACCACGAGGCTGGGTGTGTTGGGTGGGTGGACCACAGGATGAGTATGAACCAACAGACACAAGCTTTAGAGAGTTGGAGAATCTTTCAAAATTGACGTATTTTTGAACTTGCATAGCCTGATATGTGTCGGGCCAATGTTGGAACATATTTCAGGGTACTCAGAGAAACCAACCATGGCGTAGAATGATTTTTAATTGGTATATTAACGATTTTGGCTGCGGACGTATTTTCGCTGATCCGAATTAGGTCCAAAATCCTATTTCGGATCAAAAACAGGCCTTCCGTGTAATTGCCATATTTCCGAAACGGCTGCAGCTACAATCCTCAAAAAAATTGTGAATTGTAAAGGAAGGAGTAGTCTATCTTTACCTCCAGACCTGGTTGTTCTAGCACTCGCGTGCCACAGCACAAGAAGGAAAAACCAAAATCTGATCCGAAATAGGTTCAGTCGCTCTTATTTTTTTGTGAATTCGTCACTACTTCATCATGTGCAAAAAAAATATCCATAAGTCTGCCTTAAGTTATACTACACAAGACCACTTTTCTAAATGTTGCTCGTCCTTGCTGTCCTTTCAGGCCCGTGAAAATTATACGTCTCATTTCTAAAAACACAATTGAAGAGCGAATTCACAATGTGGCTCTAGGAAAACTTGCCCTTGAGAAGGACGTCTCTAGTAACGAAGGTAATTTTTAAATCCTTTGTGTATTTTTTAATTTGTTTACTCTATCGTTTGATGCTAATTTTGTGCTCTTTTTCTGTTTCACCCGAAGAACGACTTACCTGCAAAGCAGCACTCGGGAACGAATAAAGTTCTAGCTCGGAGCGGAACTCCGGGCGAGATGAGAGAGGGGGAGGTGATCGGGGGGTCTAATATATATGAATGTATGGTAACAAATATTATAGTTCCGATTAGTCGAATTTGTCTTGACAAAATATAACACAAGTGTCTTATGCTTGAGGACGATTCGAATCAAATGTTGCAAAATTTATGTGCGTCCAAAGAGCCTCGAACTGTACGTAGGCCATTACGAAAGGGTCAGTAACTTCGCACTCTCAAACACAAAGTACATTTTGTGTTCGAAGTTTCTCTTGTTCCAGGTTTCGTCGTAATTTAAAACGTCCAGAACGTTAATTTATTATGTTTTTAATTATATAAGATTAATATGTTGCCTGGCCCGGTGAACAGACGCCTCGATGCGGGCTCACACGGGTTGGCACTGGCGGGTTGGGGTTGTCACCGGCCTGCTACTGCTCCCGCCTTGACGCCCTAAGCAAGGCGTCTGTAAAAAACCACGCGTCTGTAAAAAAAACCACGCGGAGAAACGGAAAGTAACGCTTACAGAGCTGTCATAATAAAAAAGAAAATTCGTTTGTTCTTTTGTTTGTCCTCTTGCAACCTTTAACTACCCCCCCCCCCCCCCCCCCTCTCCCCCTCTCACCCTGCTTTGACTGGTTTACAAGGCGCTTCCCCCTCCTAGCCCTGCCGCCTTGTAAAGCGGTCAAAGCAGGGTGAGGGTGGGTATTTGTAGGTTGCAGGTTGTAGGTTGCTGGATAATTGTTCGTGATATGTTAACTTACGTTAACACATGTTAACTCAGGATCCTCTAAAAAAATTAATACAAAAATTTGTAATTTGGATACGCAGTTTTTTCATCATCCATCATACAAAAAACTGTATTCGGTCGGATACAAAAATAAATCTGTAACACGGATACAAAAATTTGTATCCATTGATACAGAAATATTTTGTTGGTCATGGGTCTGTTATGTAAGAAAAATGAAATTATGAAATTTAGGTTTTTCCTGCTTTCTTGCTAATTTAATTTCAGACGTTCTTTTCACCTGACGGACTCTTAACTTGAACGTTTTACTTTACCTTCCCGGGAGTTGAACCCCGATCCTTTCGGTCAGGATTCAGCGCCCTCGCCCACGCGGCTAAGGTGACTACCTGCGAGGAGGCGTGTTCCGACTCAAATCATTCTCGCCTTCTACTGGCTTGCCGGAATGCCTTTCCTTAAACCATCCGGATTTCAAAAAAGATTTTTATGTAAATGTTTTGGAAATAGATTTTATCTAACCATACTGCTAAATTCAGTCTAACAGTTGCTCAAATCGTGTTCAAATTGAACGTTCAAAGGGGGAAGTTTTTTACGCCAGATACAGATTTTTGTTTCCATGTTACAGAAAATTGGATCCAATTACAAAATTTTGTATTCCGATTACAGAAAATTATAAAACGAATATAAAATTTTGAAATAAATACAAAGTTTTGTAATTTTTTTTATCAATTTTTATATAAAATTACAGGATTTTATATCAGCGATACAAATTTTTGTATCACAGTGTCCGGATACAGGAAATTGTATCCAATTCGATACAAACATCTGTAATTTTTTTAGAGTAATATATTAATTTTGACGAGTTCTCTAGATTCCTCGTGAAATTTCCGTTTGTAGGAGTCTTTATGTGATGAGGTTTCTGCCCGGATACCAACACCCACTAACTGACGCAATTAGTACGTACTTTTTTATGGACACCTTCCGATCGGAGAGTTCCGCTGCACTTGACTCCCAACCGGACACGGTGGTGAGGCAGCGGCTCCCGGCGACCTCCCGCACACCAGGCCCGTGCAGGGGTGTGGAACTGGGTCGGACGGTGGAGGGCGCAAAACGTTTAATCGCTCTCGGGCTATACAGTCATTTGTGCACATATTCTAAATACGAAAGAACAGTTGTGGTCCATGAGTCTCACACACCCAGACTATATAGATATTTGTTTCCAAAATTCGAAAACTTGTATAAAATGTACATAATTTTGTCTCATTTTAGGGGCATCTGCACACGAAATTCTTTTGTACTTTTTTGTACGCAGCTTATAGAACTCTGTGCACCTGCTCTTCTTACGTATTATTTTATACGCAATTATGAACTAATTATACGCAATTATGAACAATTTGTTCATAAATGCGTATTAAAAAATACGCAACAAGAGCATGTGCACAGAATTCTACAAGCTGCGTACAAAAAAGTACACAATAATTTAGCGTGTGGTCTAGATGTGTGCAGAAACGATCCAATTCATGGCACAAAATTACTGTTTCGCATTTAGAAAACAAGGGGAAAGCAAAACATAAAATTAATTTTGTACTTTTCACATCTACATAAATAATTTTCATTATCAGCTGGTGATTCGCCAGATATGCAGACTCCCGTTGTTTCAAACTATACACTCTCAGACTACTACTGACTTTATTCATAGTTGACAAGTAAAGATTTTGTACAGCAGTAGAATACTAACAAAATTCTAAGTATTACTTAGAACTTTCTAAGTTTTTTATGAACTTTATTTTCTAAGTAAAGATATTGTCACTACACTGATTTTTTGATACCGGAAATATTTAGAAAATTCTAAGTATTACTTAGGAATTTTGTGAGTATTACCACTGTACAGAATCTTTAAGGGTCCACTTACAAAATGTCAGTAGTGGGCTGAGAGTGTACTTTCTCCATCATACCCCAAAAAGCTCTGGTCTTGGATTCATGACCAGTATATTGTGAATTCTGAGATGAAAGTGGAATCAAGTTAAAGCATTACACTGCAGTGTTTACAAAACTCTTTCTTACTACCACAGTAAGGTGGAGGTTGGTGATTGAGAGCTTGTAAAAAAAGAAGTACGCTTTCAGTATGTTTACGGTTCACTTTTGGTCTGCTTTCACAGCAAGGCGACTAGTAAGTATGCTCGCAAAACTCAAATCAACCAAAAACCGGCATCTGCACGGAAAAAACGTATTAGCTGGATAGGCACTAGGTGATATATTAGCTACCTCAGCTAATTTTTTCGCTGTCCCAGAGAACGCGTCAACTACTTAAGCAAAAGCTACACTGTAAAAAATTTCACTGTAACTTAACAGCAAATATGTTGTTAAGTTTTTCATTGACTCGTGTTGTTGTTTAACAATTTCGTTTGTCAAATAACAGCAAAAGTTGTCAACCAACAGTTTTAGAAAATCAGCAACAAAATGTTTTCCAATCGTCCAATAACAAAAATGCAATGACAACATAGATGTTTTTCAACAACTATAGTTGTTCTAGAACAACTGAACTGTTTTTCAACAACTGAGTTGTTTTTCAACAACTAATTTTTACAGTGTAGAAGCTTCATTAGCTAAAATTTAGCTCAGAGAGCTAATCTTTTTACCTACAGCCATATCTGCTAATATATTAGCTGTCTTGGCTATTTTTTTTCGTGTGGGGTGGACTATTCCCCACGCAACCCAGCATGCTTTCAATGCGGGGAATGAGCACACATTAAATTCTTATGAAGATTTTTATACGCAGCTTATGGAATTCCGTGTGCATGCTGAGTTGCGTATTATTTAATACTCAATTGTGAACAAACTTGTTCTTAATTCCATATAATTCTTGAAATTTGTTCCTAGTGTATTAAAATAATGCACAATACAGCATGCACACAGATTTATATACTGGGTATAGAAATGTTCATAAGATTTTAGTGGTTCACACACTAAATTCTTGTGTACTTTTTTATACGAAGCTTATAGAATTCTGTGCACCTGCTCTTGTTGCGTATTATATTATACGCAATTATGAACAAATTATACGCAATTAAGAACAATTTGTTCATAAATGCGTATTAAAAAATACGTAACTAGAGCAGGTGCACAGGATTCTATAAGCTGCGTATAAAAAAGTACATAAGAATTTAGTGTGCACAAAACGTCTAGATCTACCAGTTGATTTGCGTATTTTGTTTTTTCAAAAATTGCAACCGAAATGAGACCTAACGGTGTCGGAAACGAGGAGAATCTAAATCCGCGGGCGCCCCGCCCGGCATTGCCCGCGTGCTGCGTGCTGCCGGCGCGCGGGCGCGTTCTTCAGCCCTGCAGCTCCTTGTGCGTCCTCCAGGGAAGCCACCTCTTGTAGGTATGCTACCACGAAACTCAAACCGAAAAATGACTAACAGCCTTATATGCACTGTAAACCCAACTGTGTACTATGTACACTGTTCCTAGTGTGTGCTTGAAAGCACACAGAAGGAAGTGTGTGCCTGGCATGGCACACACTAGGAAGTGTGTACTTGCATGGCACACACTTCCTTCTGTGTGCTTGCCATAGGACTACGCTATAGAGGAAGTACACACTAGCTAGTGTGTGCCATGCAAGTACGCACTTGCTAGTGTGTGCCATGCCAGGCACACACTTCCTTTTGTGTGCTTTCAAGCACACACTAGGAACAGTGTACATAGTACACAGTTGGATTTACAGTGTGGTGATTACTAGTCAAATTTTTGAAAAATACACTAGTAGGAAATTGGCTTTACAACTGGCGCTGTAATTTGACAACTGTACCGTAAAACCACCACTTCACGACCCAGGTCAGCTTAAAAATTACCAGAAGCTTTGTCATGAAATTCCAAAAAAAATTCTAACAGTGCACACCTACAAGTTTTCGACACACACACTTGAGTTTGCAGTGTGTAAGTGTATTTCCATATTTCCATGCCTATCCGAGCGTGTCACACCCTGTGTCGCTAGACATAGCAGACATATCGTCTTGTATCGTTCAAACACGATTCTCACCGGGACTTTTGAAGTGATTGCAGACCTCTGCTGGACGGCTCTGTTGGACGGTTGAGTGGCGAGGGCAGCATGCTCATGCTGGGGCGCGGAAGGTCTCCCCAGGGCCAGTGTTTCGATGTCGCCCAGTCGATTCACTGGTGGCATGTAGAAGAGAGACGCAGTATTTGGGTATACGAAGAGTTGTAGCCACTCACGCTCAGGAGGTAACGACAACGACGCAGCGATAGCGTAGCTCTGCATGACTGAGTTTTAATTTATACACTTTTTAGACGAGGAGACAGAGAAAAGACGACGAAAAGAGGGAACGGTCGAGCTAGTTTGTCGTTTGTGATTATTTAATTTCAAGTTGCTTTTGAGATATGTTGTAATAATTGTGTGCACACTAAATTCTTGTGTACTTTTTTATACGCAGCTTATAGAATTCTGTGCACCTGCTCTTGTTGCGTATTATTTTATACGCAATTATGAACAAATTATACGCAGTTAAGAACAATTTGTTCATAAATGCGTATTAAAAAGTACGCAACTAGAGCAGGTGCACAGAATTCTATAAGCTGCGTATAAAAAAGTACACAAGAATTTAGCGTGTGACGGATAACATCATTTGATGCTAGGTTTTTATTCTAGTGTTTTGAAGGTGCACGGTAAAAATAATATCTTGAATTTCAAGAAGATTTATTCAAATTCAACACATTTTTACTTGAATTTCAAGCAATCTGTTTGAATTTCAAGACATGATTTTTACCGTGTGGTAAACTGGTAGTAATTTACCGGGTA